CTGTCAAACTGCCACGGTGGCCCCTGGACCTCAGTTGTGTGAAGACTGGATACTCTGTGGGTTCATTGTTTTGTGTAAATAAAGATGCACAGAGGAAATTAAATTTCAGTGGCAGGCTGAGCAATGTTAATTAAAATATTAAATACTCTGCTAGAAGACTTATGTCCTGAACTGTTACTTTTTTTGAATAATGGCTAAAGTATAGTGGAAGGTCTGATGCAAAATGAATAGGCTACACAGGTCAGCAGAAATTATTTTTAAAAAGCATCCCTTGCCCCATATGTTTTGACTTGAGTGTTAGGATTCCTAGTAAAAGCAGGCTTATCTAAGAGAAACCATCAAAGTTTAATTATCTGTCAAGCCTGGAGAAAATGTATCTTTCTGATCAATTCTGGACCCTTTGCAAAGCCATATACGAAAAAAATCACAAACTGGCTGTGGGCCACATCTCTGGGTTGTGAGTGTAGATCTTTGATTTACAGTGGCCACATGATACAGTGCTAATGATGCTGATGTAGAGTAATTCAAGAGAAAGTTACCTTTCCTCAGTACAACTTTTCTAACCAAAATATGATAACCCAGCACCAAGGGAATATTAGTTCAGACCACAACAATATATATCTGTTCTCTGGAGGAAACTGTGTCAGAAATAATTACATGCACTGTCATTCAGTCTCTGAACAGTGTGTAATCATTTGGCACCTGAATGTTCACTCATTAGAAGTTTGCATGATACTGTCCTTAGTCAGGCATGAATATCTGGACAATTAAAATTTCATTTATTTTTTATTTGTCCTCAGCTGCATGGGCTCTTGACACTTTGCAATATTTAATACCCTATAATAATTGCTATCTGTTGTAAATATGAAGGCCTAGAACCTATTCCACTTACTAAACACTGGAGGCTCCTAGATCTTCATTCTCATTATAAGCAGAACCAGATCCAAAGAGGGTTCAGTAGTGCAGGTGCACCCCTGTTTTTAAACTGTGCTGCAGGACCAAGTCCCCGAAGCAGGTAAGAATCACTTCTCTTGGCACCCCCTTCCCCATCTGCTCAGCAGCTCTTCCCTTTGTTCCTCCCGTTCCCTGCCACTGCTGTCCCAGCTGACCCAGGGGTCAGAGCCACTCCTACCCTACTCTTGGTAGGCTGTGTGGGGAGCCAAGCTCAACCTGGGACAGCAAGAGCAATGGCAGGAGGGTTCCCCTCCCTGCTAGTGTTCCTGGGTTTTCTCTGCTAGTCTGGGGTCAAAGGCAGGATGGGTGAACCAAACTACTGCTGCTGTCCCTGGCTGAGCCCAGCTCCCTGTGTAGCTGCTGTCTGCAGCCCCAGCTGGAACAGGGCAGAAGAAGCTAGGACAGTTGCAGCAGTAGGCAGATCACCTCTCAGAAGAATAAGTAGAGAGGGTGAGGGAATAGGAAGGGGAGTAAAGGGGGGTGCTGCTAGCACAGAGGGAAAGGGAGGGGGTTGCCCAAGAGCATCTGATTTGTAATACAGTATAGCCTCATACATCCGGCATGCTTGGGACCCACAAGAAATTTGAAAATTCCAGATTTTTGAAACCAGATCAGCAGTTTGCTTAGAAGAGAAACATCTGCTTGAATCAGAATACTTAATAGATAGCAGAACTGACTTTAGTTTAAATTAAAGCACAGTGATGGTCAAGAGGAAAGTTCAGTTATCTTTTCCTCAATAGTCTGGTGGTTTGGGTACCTCTCAAAGGAGTGGGCAAGTTCTAAGCCACATGTGACAGGTGTGAACCCCACATCTACTTCTTTCCAAGAAAGTGCCCTAACTGCCTGGCTCTGGGCTGTGTGGGACTGAGAGCATCATCCATCCCTTCTGTTGAAGCTGGCCCAATGGGATGCAAGATCATGAGGCATGGAAAATAGAGCCTAATTCTGTAGCTCATGAGGATTCCTCTGCCACCCCACCAAGGGGGAAGTGATCCTTGGGTTATGGTTATGTTCCTAATGCTCTTTATGCATTTTATTCAGCTACTAAAATGAAAATAGACTGTCTCAGCAGCAGTGCTCTAAAATGACATGCTACTGGAAGCAGCATGCTCCTAAGGTGGAAGCAGATTAGCATGACCTGTGTGGGACTTCAGGTAGGATAATTAGTACTGCTGGCAGGGTTAGCTAGCATCCCATTGGCTAATTAGCTCACCTGTTGCATTGTGCATGTGCACGTATACTACTTCTGGTTTAGGAGGCAGCTTGTCCAGAGCAGGCTGTCATGCTTCAGAGTGCCACTGCTGGAGATGGTTAATTCACCCTGTGGACATGGCCTTAAATGATTAAAAGTCACATGGGTGCAACTTGGACATCTCAGAGAGAAAATAAGATCAGGCCCAAGATTTTCCAAAGTGACTAGGAATTTTGGGTGGCTTAGTTTTTGGCTAACTTGAGGCATCTTAAGAGAACTTGAGTTTCAGAGTACTGAGCAACCACCCTCTGAAAATCAGGCCCTTCAGGTGTCTTACACTGGGTACCCAAAAACCAAGGCACTCAATTGCTAATAATTTTTGAAAAACATGACTGCAGTTTTCAATATAGTAGGCCAGTTTTTCAGTCACTGAACTGCAAGAGCAATAAAACTGCTCTACCAAGCCCCCAAATTCCATCAGTGCAATCCTGCCCTCCACAATGCTATCACTTACAGCCTTATATTTTCCTCAAAGTTTGGCAAAAATAGTAAGTGGCATGGGGCAGGGGAGGGGACCTCTACAGCACATCCAGAAAGTCAAAGAACCCTATTGCTGACAGAAGTGAAGTAAATTTGGTATAAACCATAGACATCTCTGACAAGTGCAACCCCTATGGAAGGGAAACTATAGGTGAAACCTGGCTCCACTAAATTCAATGGCAGAACTCCCATAAGGCCAGGATTTCACACTGTGAATAAAGACAGGAATATTCTTAAAGATAGATTTACTGATTTTATGGAACTGGACTCTCTATATCTGATGCATGGAGCATGACTTTGCAAATTTGCCTTGCATATTTTAAAGCATTTAAAAACACTTCAATTAGGAATTCTAACAGCACCATTAGAATGCGGCAGAGCACCCGCATTGGCTGTTGTGAACAGGGACAGTGGTAACTTCTGGCTGCTGCTGCCCCCACAATTAAAATTGCATGGCTATGGGAAAAGCTGTTTTTTCTTCCCCTTAGCCCCTGTTGGCACCCAGGATGGTTGCCGATGTCTCCCTACCCTAGCTATGCTGTTGAATTTAGTATGTTAGGGACCTGCCTGGCTCATGCACTTGACAGAGAGAGGTGGAACCTGTGATGTGGAGCTAGGGACTGTCCAATCTTTATTACAGTTCCCCTAATACAACCTATCTAGTAGTCTGGAGGACCAGGACTTTGATCACTCCATAAAGCCCTTTGATTTTCTTGTAAGTTAATATAGTTGGGCCTCGATTTACCTGGTTGTTTTTTCTGCAGTTTCACCTATGTGCAGTCAATTAATTGTAACCCTTTAATTTTGTACATGGCATGGATTTACTTTTACATGGTGCAGCAGTTGCCAAGATATTCAGACGCATCTAGAATCAGCTGGTTGCTTCCTGCCCCACCTTCATCATGCTGCTTTCAGTGTAGCTGGTAAGTGTGTTGTGCTGGAAAGGGACAGGGGAGGGAAAAGGCTTGGTGGGGGGAAGATAAATACCCCCTGTGGTGAGGGAGGGAGTGGGGCAGGGGCTGGGGCAGGTGCTACTCAGCTGAGGCAGGGCAGGTACGGGACAGAGCCACGGCTCATCTGGGGACAGGAGGAGGGGGGCAGCTCCCCCTGCTGCATGCAGCCTGGGGGGGCATGTGCCCCACACATCTGCATGGGGTAGGGTGGGCTGCAGCTGCAGGCTGGAGCTGGGACTGCACGGGGCTCTTCTCGGCGGGGGCTGAGCTGGGCTTGGCTTGAGGTGGGCAGCAGCGGTACTGGAAAGGGGCTATGGGGGGGCTACAGAAAAATTTGGGGTGGCTGCAGCCTCCCCCTATAGCCCCCATCCAGCACTGCCACCACCAAGAAAAGTCTAGTGCAGCCTCAAGTCCAGCTAGCAGCCTGCTTGCCCTGTCCCACGCATGTCTGGGGGCAGTCCCCCCCCGTGCCATTCCAGGGTGTGCGCAGCAGTGGGAGCCACCCCCTGCATGTTCCCCAGATGGGCCATGGCTCTGTCCCATGCCCACCCTGCTCTGGCAGGGCAGCCCCTGCTTCTGGTGGGGCAGCCCCCACTCCTCCCTCACAGCGGGGTGTGTTGATCTGCGCCCCCCACACGCCTTCCCTCTCCCCTCCCTTCCATCACACCAGACTTATCAGCTGCATGCAGCTCTCCAAGCTGCTGGGCTCTGCTCTTTGCTGCCTGCATGCTGTGCTGTGGTTGTGCGCATGCACGGGCATTTATCAGCCAAATTATCAGCTGCATCTGGAACCTAAACCCTTATTTCTCATAGATCCTTGGTATCTTTTTATGTGATTTCTATTTGCACCATGTTTTTTTCAAGAATGTAACCACCATGTAAATCAAGGCCCAACTGTAATTCCAACATGACTGAACTGATAGACATCACTGCCATCCTAAAACTGTTTTGTGCTCTATGTGATTTATGTTAAATCTCAGTTCAGCTTCTGATGCATAAAGGTCTGAATCACAATAAACATCCCTAAAAGTGGCACTAATTAACAGTCACAGGAAAGATAGTGAATGAATACACATGGAAAAAGAAACATCCTCTTACTCCTAGGGATTCTTCCTCTAGTGTCAGGCTCACTGTTGGATAGAGACTCTAGGAATATCAATTGTCAAGACTATTAGAAATGTAAATACTGTGGTCTTTAGTTTACCTTTAAGATGCTGGCCACTGTTGCTGGTGGCATTGAACCACAATTTTTTCATGGTAGCTGTGATAGGCATTGCACCAATTACACAGAAGGATGTCTGACTGTTACTCCACATTTGGCCAATTCTAACTGGTGGGTCCATGGAGACAGGGCAATGACTTCATCTCTTCCTTACTCTTCCATGCTATCTGAGGGGAGTTCAGCATAGCTAGCCCAATATAGTTTTTGCATTACCATTATTGCTAGTGAAATGTGACTTTTAGATAACTTCATGCCCACAGCAAAAATGATATAAGGCATTTTTACTTTTCCAAATACTGACAGCTTTGTCAAGGAGTGTAAATAGTACAATATAATTCAGAAAAGATGTGATGTGCAGTTTTTAGAGCTTAGATAAATGGTTGATACATATTGCCTATGGCACTGGAATGGGCTACATGAAAAGTAGCTTGCAAGTCACTATATATTGTATTTGGACACAGTTTTTCCTTGCAAAAATAAGCAGATTTGTGCTGGCTCAGAGTTTTCTACAGTTTATGAAAAAACTGGTTTAAAAGCATCCTGGTACTTAAAATGTGATTCTGCTTTAAAAAAACTCAGAAATTGCAATGTGTGTGTTTTTATATTGAATATTACATACTATACATTGCAGAAGGACAGTTAATAATAAAAATATTCTGAAACCATAACATTCAGATCCTGGTCTGAACTTATACATTTACCAGTTCCAGTGGGGAGTGATGCTTCTGCTTGAGGATCCTGCAGTAGGGTCATCTGAAGAAATTTGAATTAGATTCCAGTCTTTCCTTAAATTCCACTATAAAACCTGTTGGGTTTTCTCTTAATCGTCAACAGGTTCATCAGGGCCCAGTACAGTCTAGCTCTATAGTTTATTAACCAATAAACTGTAAGGAGTTGCTTGTCTTACCACTTGACTGCCCTTCCCTCATCCATGTTATACTATGGGATTTCATAAGGCAGGCATCTGAATAGTTATCTGTGTTTTGCACACAAGTGTAAGAAAACATCAACAGGATCATCCACTATGTGAAGCAATTTTGAAGTAATTTACTTGCATTTTTCTGAAAGGAGAACTTTTTTCTCACTGGGTCGCATTCTTTTCACCATCTGTCCTGACCAGGCCTGCTACACTGTGCTATTTAAAAACCTTGAATTTGTGTATTATGGCCTGTGGATCTATGCCTCTATTATTGAATTGCTTTACTATATTTCCAGGCATTTCTGCACGTTGGCAGAAATCTTTCTTGAACTGTTTCCACATTTTCTTGATCTAATATTATCAGTCACAGTGGGGTTTTTCTATACTGACTCCAGGTTTTCTGAAGCAGTATAAGCAGGTGCTTTATTTTCTTGCATTATTTCTAAGTGTCCTTGATTTTCTGGCAGTGAGTCCAGGTGTTTCTGAAAACATTTTCCCTTCAGGCTAGCTGAGTAACTGCTTATAGCTGAATCTGCAGCTGCAATTATTTGTTTCTTATATTATGAAGTCAGGGCATATATAAACTGGCAATGTGAAGAACGAAGAAAAAAAAAGGGAAAATGAAACAAAATAGTTGAGTGGAATATGGA